CCCAGCAGCTCCTGGTGATGTGGTTTGGGATGGGAAGAGGCATTCCCTGGGCAATGCCAGCCCCAGCACACAGTGGTGACCCCAGGAAGTCTTGGCATGTAGAGGGATATTTTTAGGGCCCCTCGCCAGGGGTGCCGGAGCGTCAGGCTCTAAGCACGCAGAGCTGGGAGGGCTGATCCTGTCCAGATGTTGGCTCCAGGGAATGGCCAGGCCCACGTCCCTGCTGGAGCCTTCAGATGCCAGCACAAAAGCAGCTCAGGGCTTTTTCCCTCAGTACCCTCATTTCCAGTGAGGTTCCTCAGGGGTTGGTAGGTGAGATGTGGAGCCAGGCAATGATCCAACGATCCAGTCATGGGTTCCTCCTCTCAGAAGTATGATTCCTGTCCCTCACTCCTGTGGAAAAGTGTTAAGGGCAGGTTGGGATCAGTATCTGGGCAGAGGAGCAAAGTCCAGGCCCGTTTCCTGGGATTCTCTCCGCCTCCCAGGTCCCCTGTTTCTCCAGGGGGAGCTGTGCCCAGGCTCTTGGGGCTGCCCTGGTGTTAATTCCGAGTCCAACAGGGATTAGTCTCTGGAGTGTTTGTTGTAATCAGAGTTAATGATTCTGATCTCGGCTTTTCCCACTGTGGAAACAGTTTTTGCAGATTCCCTGACCCTGGTTTCGAGGGAGCAGTGAAAAGGAGTCTGAAAAAGTCCAACTAAAGGGTCACTTTGGATTCTGACACTGCTCCAGCTCTGGTCCCTTCCCCAGCGACAAGCTGGGAAACCCCTGGAAGCTGAAAATGCAATTATGAGGAATTGATGAACCTCTCCCAGAGCAGCTGGGAATGCCAGGAGCTCCCAGCCTCGCCTGGCTCTGCTGTGGGGGAGCTGGGGCTGCCCAAGGCCAAAGCTGGCTCCTGGTGGAGGTGGCGGGGCTGGCGGGTGTCCAGGGCCACTGTCCTGTCCATGATGTGGAGGGAAACGGCCCCTCGGGGATGCTGGGAGGGTTTTGTGTGTGGAAAAGTGTTTAAAAACCAGTCGCTGGGGTTGGAAACCCCCTGAGCAGCTTCTGAGGGTCTGTGGGTGCCTGTGCTGCTCCCTGGGGCCCAGATGCTCCAGCCTCTGTTCTGTCCCTCTCACAGGCAGGGTGAGCGCTCTGGAAAACTTGATGTCGGATAAAGGGAGCAGCATGGACGGGAAGACAGACATAGTGAACGGTAAGGGGGGTGGGGGGGACTGGTCTCCCGGTGCTGGGGTCTGTGCTGGGGAGGCTCACGGCCCCGTCTGCGCCGCGCAGGCAGCTTGTCCAGCAGCCCAGAGGAGATGTCAGCCGAGGAGGGCCGAGAAACCTCCTCGGGCATCGAGGTGGAGGCCTCCGACCTCAGCCTGAGCCTCACGGGGGACGACGTGGGGCCCAACCGCACCAGCACGGAGAGCCGGGACACGGACACGGAGAGCTCGGGAGAGGAGAAGGACTCTGACAGTATGGACGACACGGGCCACTACTCCATCAACGAGGAGAGGCGGGCCCTCGACCGGTCGCACTCGGAGGAGGAAGAGGAAGAGGAGGAGCAGCGTTCCCACCGCCGCGCCCAGCGCAAGCGTGCCAACCACGACCACGAGTC